AAATGGCGAAGCCGCTGGCCTAACGGCAGCAGCCGTCACAACATTCGCAGATTGCAGACCGTGCTCGTGACCGGGACTTCAGAAGAACAATCTTTAATTGGCGCGAAGTTTAGGGCCCTTGTATAAGCAAACGTCGTACACAGCTAAGCCTATACCCCTCGAAGTGACGCCGAATTCCTCAACTGATGGAACTCAAAAGTACCTTAAATTTAGATCCGAGTCTGTGTATTGCAGCTCGTTTAAATTCACTAATTATTTATCCTTCACCCATGATGCCCGCGTTTTGTCAACTAATTTCTGTCTTCATTTAAGCATAGAATTTTTTGAGGTTGCTGCGGTTCTTCCATTAGGAGTTCGCAATTGTGGAGGATAATTATTTCACTATCATTGTATCATTTTAATCATATTCTGTAAATACTTTTTTATTTTTGTCTTCATTTCCTTTCTATTCATCCGTTTATTTTTCCTTACTATTTATACTTTATATATCTTGTTTCATATTTTTAAACTCAGCATCAGATATTTTCTTCGATCTTTGTGATCTATATAATTTGATAATACATAAAATATGAGTCATGTTAACTGATTTGTCCTTCTTGCATTCAGACTCGTATTTTATTCAAGTTCAAGGTTTAATCAAGTTCAAGATAACTTTCATATTCAACTTTCGCATTAACACTTTCATGAAGGCTTTCACTTTTAAATTATTAATCATTTGAAGAATAATATTTTTAACACTAAACACCAATGTTGCGTAGTGCAATATCAGAACATTGCACGCTTTCTTATTATGCTGTGAATATAAGCCAATTTTGGCATGTATTATTTTATAGTTTAGCGATATTCCCATGTAATATGTGTTATATTGCATTAATAGGCTATAGTCACATGTGAACTGCACCTTAATCTATAAGAAGAAATTGTTCAGACCATTTAGTCATCATGAGTAGGCCATTTGAGTTATCTAAGAAATCCGTTAATCTTATCAGTAGCTAGATTGCGTTAACAAACATCACCCTACCGTCTTGCAGCAGATCGTCTATTATTATTAATATTATATTACAATTATTAAGATCTTCTAGCTCTTAGCTTGGCGTAGAAGAATTATGTAATTATGAAATTTAAAACTGGTTCTGGATATGATGTAGTGTTACCATCCGATGAGGAAAAACATTGGTCAGACATGGTGCGTTATGTCGTGAAATTTAAATCGAATAATTACATTTTATTTAATACCCGTTAAATAAACTCAATATGTAGTTCAACCAACAGAGCTGCTTAGGCCCGTATGCTAAATGGGGCACTAGCACTACGAAGTAGCACTACGCACTACAAGCAGTAGTGCGGTACTAGTGCGACATGGAACACTACGGTTGGCATGCTAAATAGGGCACTAGCACTTTGAAGTAGCACTATGCACTACAAGCCGTAGTGCGACATGGAACACTACGGTTGGCATGCTAAATAGGGCACTAGCACTTTGAAGTAGCACTACTTTTGAATTTTATTTTTATTATTTTTTCTGGAGTCATTTTGAATTCTTCTGCAAGAACTTTCCATGCTTCTCTCTTTTGTTCGATGTCTTTGGTAAGCGTGGACTTTGAATATATGATGGGAAAGGTGCGCAGACGCATTGCGAATTTCAGCTCACCATCAAAATTTTCATTAGTACCATAACCATCACAATTAAACATTTTACATCAATCTTCTGCAAAGAATAAAAATTACTTAGAGAATAATTAATTATTTGAGCACTTAACTACCATTCTTCAATAGACTCATAGCGTAGTGCGGCACTATAAAGTACTCTAACAGCGGAGTAGCACTTCAAAGTCTTTCTGCATACGAATCAGTAGTGCGACACTAAACATTGTAGAGCTACTTCGAAGTGCTTAGTGTCTGTCACGTATTTAGCATACCAACAGGACACTTCGTAGTGCATAGTGCTACTTCGTAGTGCTAGTGCCCTATTTAGCATACAGCCTACAGGCCTTAGTTGAGATTTTATGGGCAAAATGCTTTTCGAGCTATATTATCTAAATTATACCTTTTAATTTATTTCATCTTCGCAAGAATGATCTATCTAATAAAATCTTAACTTATGCGATATATATTTTTTCTGCTGCATCCATCATGCTTTTCAGTTCTGCTCTGACGAAAAAGTACATTACAAAAGGAATCGTATTTTCATATATGTTTAGTTTCTACGTTTTTCAACTCACCGCAGCGATCATTTTACATAACGTTTTACATAACTTTCACATCTATCAGCGATCATCTATTTGCACTACATTGAGAGCGAAAGCACTGGTCAGATGCCGGCACCGTTGAATTAATTCAACAATGGATGCCGGTGTCCACTCCACACTCCACATAGCACAGTCGCGACACTCGCGAGCAGAGCATAGCATGATAGCTCATATAGCTGGCAGCCTGGCATACGAATTACGAAGTCAGTGTGTCCGCGCTTCTGACTAAGTAAGGTCGCTTGTCGCTATTCAGCCTATTGCGACGCTGATGGTGTTTTTTGTCTGTTCGTTTCGTGTCGATGAGTTGTGTAGCTTGTTTTGAGATTGCGGCGAAGTCTGAAAGCGAATTATTCACGACAAACCATCTCTTATCACTATAACACTCACAAAACACTGTCAATATGGCTTTATTGCCGGTAGATCCTGCACCACTATCATCATCATCTTGTCTACTTCGAACGTTGGACTGAAATCACTGAATGGGCTCGCCTGCTGGACAAAACTCAAAAGCACAGGCCAAGGGAACCAGACTACCAGTGGAAGTGGTGAGAATGACTTCGCCGGGTGGAGACGACATTCATAATGGCTTCCTGAGAGCTCTGGGACAGGAGAGGAACACCATGGACCTCTCCTCACTTTATTCAACCAAAGCTTTCAACTTGGCATACTCCCTTCATCTTGGAAAGAGGGGATTGTTCTCCCAATCCTGAAACCTGGTAAAGATCCCTCCCTGCCTTCATCCTACCGACCAATAACGCTGCTTTCATGCCTGGGAAAGCTAATGGAACGATTAAAACTGGTCGTCTAGCTACCTTATAGCAAGTGAATTGTAACTCATTAAATAAGAAACTGCCAATTGCCACTTCTCATTGTGAAAACTGTCAACAATCTGAAGATGGTCACCTGTGAGAGTGAAATGAGGCCAGAGATGGTGAAACTTGAAATAATTAATCATTGATGAGTCCAGGTGAAACAAGTGGTCAAGGTGTCTACTTCCTCACCTTCAACCCGTAACCACCACCAGTGGAAGTGGATGGCATCCACTGGCCCTCGATTTTGCCACTGCCAGAGCATTTGCCTGTTTGACAGTGTTCCGCATGAATGGCTGTTGGATAAAGACCGTAAAGTGAAGTCTTTTAGAATACCTAAATGGAAATGTACTTGGTAGTTGGTACAATCTACAATGGATCAGAGATTTTCTAGGTGGTAGACAACAACGTGTCAGCATAAGTTTTTAAGGCAACCCCAGGGCCCAGGCCCATCATATTAGACTGGGCAGCACTTGCCACTCAGCAGTGTGCAGTGACTTGGCACAAGGAAGAGTTGTTGGGCCTGATTTGCTTGTTGCTTCTACAAAAAATCTGCCAGAACTCAGAAGTAAAGTGTAAACTGTCCAGTGTGTGCTCCATGTAATCCCTTTATGTCGTATGATGTATCATTGTATGCTGATGTCTGATGACACAAATCACACAATAGTTTATGATTCAATTGGGGTTGGGGATGCATCCAATAAAGTGAAACTGCAAGTCACAGACAGACAGCAAGTCTGCAAGATGATCTTAATACTCAGTTAATAGTCAAGTTTACTGGGCTGCTATGGAGTATGGACTAGGAGCAGCTGAATTTTAATACTGACAACTGTGACAAGTTCAAAGTATTTCATCTTGGGAAGAAAATAAACAGCAAGATAACAATATGAGCAAGAGCTAACATGGTTCATCATGGTTGCAACAAGAGAGTAATGATTAGAATAGGCTAGGCCCTAGGGACTAGGGTGGAAGAAAATTTGGTATACCTACTCAAATTGGAAGTTTGTCAACAAGGAGCTGAAATTTTCTAGTCACAATATTAAAACATAAGCTAATAAATCTAATAAACTTCTTGGACTGAATCCAACTCATCAGATGCTCTTATAACTTATAAGTTCCCAGATGCCTAACCGCTGCAATGATTAAATCATTCAAGTAAACATTTGCAAATTTTGTTTATTGGGTTCTGACGTTCTGTAATCTCTGATTTTATAATTTTGTTAATGGTATGAAGTAAAATTATCAGACAAATATATTTGATATTGATCAAGCCAATTTACCTACTTAGATTAAGTGACAGTACTCTCATTTATTCAAAACAAACATTGAGTAAACTGAGACTTACAGAAAGTGGAGTGCCATATTTTTTTCAATTGTTGAATGTTGACTTGTTAAGGAATGACTGAAATGAAATTATATTTTTCTCCCATGAAAGATAGCCTCTGACACCAAGGCATGAGGATCTCTAGATGAAAAGTATATTATGTTGTTGAATAAAACATTTGACAAAAATTAAACAATTTTATTTAACAATATTATAAAATCATTTTGGAATATTGGTCTGAACTCTGAAGTATCCCCAAATTGCATTTGCAAGTAAGAACAATTGTTTACAGGTGATTTTCAAAAATCACCTGTAATAAATAGGCCATTTTTTACTAAATAAATTTGAAAAAAGCCATAGTTATGAGTGAATGGCCAGATTCATGGGCTTTTTGTTCAATTCATGGGTGGCTTGAAACTATATTATTCCCAATATTCCAGTTAGGTTACCCTAGGTATAGAAGTAAATTCAATGAAAACTTCCATAGTTTCATAAATCAGACTGCATAGTGTAGATTACATATCATGACAGGCTTAGACAGCTATAATAAAGTACGTAAATGTTTATCTAAATTACTCAGAACCACCTTTAAATGGAAACATGCTCATGCTTGCTTTTGATTTCACGCAATCTAGATGAGATCCTAATATTTTTTGTGAACTTGTCAAGTTGTCATCAAATTTTCAGATTATCTCAGGTGTGCTCAAAGTTAAAAAGTAATAAGTCAGCATAAAGTTATTGTCAAAAATTGAAATGGCTAGCACGGCAAGTCCTCTCCTTCCTCGTCTTGTTTCATCATGTGTTGCAGTTGCTAACAACGCGGGAAAAATTATTAGGGATATATTAAAGCAAGGTGATCTGCAAATTGTGCAGAAAGAGGTATGTGCAATTTTTTTCTCAATGATTATCTAATATATAATAAATTAAATTCATGCATATACCTTAGGTATAAAATGGCAGCAAAGTTTTGGAAATTTGTTTAAGCTAAATTCTATGTTGAAAAATTAGGTATACTGTACATATAGCCATGAATGATAATTTACTATTGAATAAGAAATACAGATTACTTTGATATTTGTTCATGAAATAAAACATCATTTGATTTTGTATCATTCATTTATACACAACTAGAAGTATATATAATTGGTTGTATGAATTGTGCATAGTGGTTTGATCAGCCTCAAAGTTTGCAGTGATCATTTTTATTTTGCCTCCATAGCATGCCAAAGATCTGCAAACTGAGGCAGACAGAGCTGCCCAGCGCTACATTGTGTCTTCCCTTGCTGCCCACTTCCCCAAGGCTACTCTCATTGGTTAGTTCTGGGTTACTTCTTCAAATTTATTTGCATGTTAATGAATCTAGGCTGCTTGATTGATGTAGGTTGAAGTGTTTCTTGTCTTGCATCTTTATATGTGCTCGGTGTGATTTCTTTATTCCTTAGCCAAATATAACCATTTATACTGCATTGTACACATGACCAGAATACCTCTACATGTTCAAACTCAAATTAGACCATTAAAGACCATACTTACATTTCATAAATCAAAATTATAGGTGATCCTTGAGCAATTTTCTATGTATGTGTGGTGTTCCATAAATCCAATATATAGTCAAATGGGGTAAGACAGGATCGCAGCTTTCATGGGGTAAGAAAGGACCGGCCCATGACGTGCATTCTAACTGCACTGAATTTAATTTGATGAAAGAATATGTTAGAGCAATCATTGCCTGTCATTTCAGTGTTTGTTTCAACCCTCTTCTGCAAATAATGAATTTTTGGTTAATTTTTGAAAAAAAACCTATGTAAAGAAGGGTCACAAAATAGTTAACCCTATTTGGGAAATAAGCTCTGTCTTTACACCTTGTGATAGGTTTAGGGTTTTTTATTTATTCATGGTATAGATGCTACATGCTTGTTAGTGATTTCGGTCCTGTCTTACCCCATCTGACTATATATATAACATGTATGGTACCATAATTCTTGTGCGGCAGGTGAGGAGGAAGAATCAGGATCTGGTGAAGTGACGGACCTTACATCTGTTGAGCAGCTCACCATTGCCTGCCCTGAGCATCTCTCCAACTTGTCCGAAGAAGAGGTCTCACCTACATACTAATAAAAATATCAATCTTTTTTCTCTTTTGAATCAATATATTTACTTCAAGTGAAACTTGATGATACTTTTTTGTAAATATTTCTGAAAATAAAACTAAATTGAACATCATATTTGATATCTTATCAAGTATATATTTGTGTAATTATAGCTTTTATATCTGTGACAATATAGTTTTTGATAATGTAGATGCTGATGAAAAGTCAATGCTATTATTCTTGTTGCCGTCACAATAGTTTGAATGAAGACAATGCTGGCATATTCTGCAGTTCAATATGCATATACTGTTTTTATTATATGTAAAATATGCCAGCTAAGCATGGCCTTGAAATCAAGTAAATATAGAAATATACCGTATATAGGTTTCTTTTTCTATTCATTTTAAGATTATTTTTGTGTTCTCAATGATATGTATGTTTTTCATATCATTCTGTCAGTGCTAGATTATCATGATGATTAGAGTTGAGGTTGTGTGGAGTCATTGTTTACATGATGACAAGCAAGTTTTGTTATCAACATCCTGCAGTTCTTGCCTGTGCTGAATGATTTTCTTATCTAAGTCATGGTTGCATCAGCCAGCCTTACTGATAAGAATGAACCTTCAAAATTATCTCACGTTGAAAATCATGCTTATCAGACAATATTATAAGAATTGCCTTGGAACTTGTCACTTCATCCAAGCAGTCAACTGACTTAAGAAATCATGTGGAATATATTCTGTTGCATATAACTCAAAATAATTATGTAATTATTAGGCAGTTGTTCTGCTTATGCATATGGTATGAAATCATTTTTAATAGCTCAGTTAAAGTTAAAAGTGCTCATTGTGCAAGTATAATTATTCACCTTGCATACAATGTATGTAGCATCAATGTTTGATTTTTCATTGACGCCTTGTAGATAATTTGCCTGAACTGTTGCAGGTTGTGTTGTGGATAGATCCTGTTGACGGCACATCTGAGTACACCCAAGGTGTGTGTCAGTACTTCCAATTGACTGACTCCTGCATAGAAACATCTATCATAGTTGAATTATCACCCATAAGAATTAATTTGAGGATTATGATATAATTTCAATTGAATTTCTGGTCTTCATTTTGTCTTCCGTTTACTTCTGTGCTCTAAATATCATGATGATTCGGGATGTGTGGAATCAATTCCATCTCCAATGAGGTTCCATGACATTATTACGACTTACAACTTGAGTTAGGTTTAGTAAAAATTGAACCGGTTTTCCTTTGATATAAAAATTTGTGCTAGGATAATATGTCTAGGCCTTGACAACCTCTGCCACTTTTGCCCATGCTTGCTCCGGACGCAGCATTCGAGTGCATGTCAGGTAGACACGGCGCCTCTTGCCCTCGTGTCTCGGTACTTGAACACAGAACTGTCAGCTGCACAAGTTAGTGTGTCTCGAGTGTTGGGGCCTTTAGTGGTGTCATTGGTCTTGCTCTGAGTATTGCCATTTGCCTAAGTATTGCCCCAAGTGTAGTTCTTAGTACCTATTGCCCCAAGTTTAGTTCTTAGTATTGCCCCAAGTGTAGCCCTTAGTTTTACCCTTATAGTGTTGCCCGGGTTCACTACCTTCCAATTGCTGCATGTATATCATACCTTCTACACTCGTCTTGCACGCTCAAACTTCTGTAGACTTTTTCTGTATGCTCAAACTTTTACATTTTTTGCTTTATTTAGTACATGCTGTCACATGCAAATAACATTATATATTAATCAATTTCAGTAGTATAGAATGTTTTCTACTTCGCAAAGCACGTGTTGAAAACCTCCCATTCTCAGATGCACAATTTAACTTCAGTCTGGGCACATACATAACATCTTCCCAAACTAGTTTTTTAACCTGCCAATATAATCTAATTAATGATTGTTACTTTTGATGGATTGGTTGCCTTGTTTACTCCAACCCTGTTTTACGTCGTTGACTCTTAGGTCTTAAATTAAGTTCAAATCTTCTGCCTGCTCTTTCATGTCATTTAAGTCGAGTGGTATGTAGGTCATTATTTTATGTGTATGCTTTTCCCATTCTTGTGAATGTATTGAAAAACTTCTTTACACTTTTTCTATTCATTCAACAATCAAATTCATCGAATTATTGTTTAGGCAATTTGCTTGATAATTTTATTTCTATGTGCCAATTCCTGAACAATTTATTTCTGTAAATTTTATACAAGTTTTCTTGTTACATATTACTGGATGAGATTTAATTAAATGATTCTTCACAAACCCTATACTAAATCATCAATATAATTTGTTCACTTGATATAATAATATTCTTAATGAGAACATTTATCAGCATTGAGCTTCGCTCGAATGATTTGCATGAACCCTCAGTTGAATGCATGATTTTGGTGACCTGTACTGCAGCTGTAGCAGTGACTGCTGCTGTAGCATTGACTACAGCTGTAGCAGTGACTGCAGCTGTAGCAGTGACTGCAGCTGTAGCAGTGACTGCAGCTGTAGCAGTGACTGCAGCTGTAGCAGTGACTGCAGCTGTAGCAGACCCACAGCTCTACACTATGCATTGCTGTGCAGGTTTACTGGACCACGTCACAGTTCTGATCGGCATAGCTGCGCAGGGCAAAGCTGTGGCAGGCGTCGTCCACCAGCCTTACTTCAACTACCAGACCCCAGGGTCAGCACCCTTCATCCAAATTGTCTGTATAGATGACATGTGTTGTAGTTATAGTAATTATGGCACAAAATAAGTCTTGTGTGAAGTTCCTTGCTCGGCACACATAAAATGGTCATTAGCAAGTTGCAAATATAGCAATAATGTTTCAAGGTCAATATACTGATTAATTTAACTGAGCTCATCTTCTTCTTGGTTGTAGCAACCCTTCACTGCACAGGAGTACACAAACTTGCGTTTAACCTTAGCATTAGGGAGAGCTTAGGTATTTTGCAGGAAGACCTTATGGTGCGTCTGTGCTGTCTTGACGCATTTTTAATTCCAGTTCAATAGAACTTCCTGTTCTTGACTTTCTTTAATTATCTACATTTACTAACTCGTTTTAACTTTACGTTTACCGACTTTTTATTCCTTCACATTTGCCAACTCCCTAACCGTTCACATTTGCAAACGTTTTATTCCTTCCCATTTACCTACTCCGGTACTCCCTAACCTTTCACATTTACCAACTCCCTAACCTTTTCAACAGAGCTGAGCTGGGGAGGACAGTGTGGGGTGTGGTGGGGCCATTGGCCATGAGGTGGGGGAGCTGGCCATAAGGTGGGGGAGCTGTCCATAAGGTGGGGGAGCTGGCCATAAGGTGATGACTAAAGATAGTTTTGGTGTAACTAGCCATAGTTTTTTTACATGTATCCCAGCAGCACAGTAACTATACATGGTTTTGAACACCAACGAGTCCCTGATCTACCGCTGTATCCTACAACAATTCCCTGGTCTACTGCTGTATCCTTCAATGAGTCCCTGGTCTACCTCTGTATCCTTTCCTACCTTGTAACTGTCACCCTGGCGCAGGTGCTGCTGCTGCTGGACGGCCACGCGCACGCCTACGTCTTCGCCAGTCCCGGCTGCAAGAAGTGGGACACGTGCGCCCCTGAAGCGGTGCTGGTGGCTGCTGGGGGCGCCCTCACTGACATCAGGGGCGACCTCATCCCTTATCATAAGGACGTCGACCGCAGGTACGTGGGTCTTGCTGCTACATAGCGGGGGGACATTGCCTGCTTGATGTGTGGTGTTGTGGTCGTGATGTTGTGGTCACAAGAAATGGTGAGCTGCAGAGTTGCACTATGACACCTACACTTTTTGGTCATTTCAAATCTTTTGGTAATAGAAATGGCAGTATAAAACGTGTAATTAATTTTGAAGAATGTTGTTCTTATGCAAGGTTGCGACCAAAGTTATATGCAAGTCCGACTTTATTTTTCTCGTTATAAAATCGGGTGTAAAACGTTGACACCTAGCGGATTTTGAAAAAAATTGTAATTAAATAATTAATTATTTGACTGAAAATTGTAATTAGATTATTAATTTTATTTATCGTATCCTATTGCAGAAACAGCACAGGCGTTTTGGCCACGGCGCCCGGGGAATGCCACCAAACATATCTCAACAAAATCCCTGATGCCGTTAAGAATAATCTGAAGAAATAATGCCTCTCCTGGCCTGTCAATACTCCTGCCGTGGCCGCTGCCTTGTCAAGAGGAGCTACTGGAAACGTCCGCCTGTCGAGCTTCATGTCAGCTTGTCCAGGCTCCCCAATCCTTGTTTTCAATCCCAATCCTTGTCTTCAATTCCCATCGCCAACCCTGGAATTGAACCTCCTTCACCAATCATTTAATTAAACCCCCAATCCTCAATCCTTGTCTTCAATCCCCATCCTCAATCTTTGATTTAAATCCCCATTTCCAATCCTTATCTTCAATTCCAATCCCCAATCCTTGTCATCAATTCTAATCCTCAATACTTGCCTTCAACCCCATCCCCAATCCTTGTCTGCAATCCCGATCTCCAATCCTTGTCTTCAATCTCTATCCCCAACCCTTGTCTTCAATCCTTATAATCTACAGCCGTGCGTGTTCCCATATTTTCATTTCTGGTTAGTATATTTTTATTATGGTTATTATATCAATTTACGATAAGTTACAGAGTTTACATCTGCATTCTTTTATTCATTAAAAGTCTTTTTCCAATGTTGAATTACGACAATTGTTCTTATCATTTACGATTAGCTTCAAGTTTCAGTTATGGGTTCTCATTTACCTAATTAAGTTAATTAACTAAAGTTCTCACCAGTTTGCATTTTGCGTTGGCTCAAAAAAGGCCAAATATCAAGTCAAATGTCAAAGGCTGAAAGCTGGAGTTGTCTGTGACTTTAGTTACCTTGGGCCGTACTGTCAAAAATATGTGAGTTCGTAACTCAATCAGCCTATCACTGACGGCTTATTTAGCTACACCCACCAATCATGGACGAGAAATGGACCGATAAGTGCGTTTGAGCGAGTTTAGAGACTACGGGCGCTGGCCTGTAGATATGAATTGCTGTGGCCTTAGAGAATGTGTCCTTAGACAAAGGGTTCCAAAAGGTTAGACTGCTACTGTATGTAATTAACTGGATTTGCGGTAATCGGAACCTTCATCCATGTCACTGATGACTATTTTTGAGTTTTGTTGCTCAATCATTGCAGCTCTAGTCAATCATGCGTCTTAAACTACACTTCGTGAGAACGCCAACCGCCCTGAATGAAGCCTTTATTTTGTAATATGTACGCTTCAATATTGTTAATGGTGCTTTAACCTTTAATGCTAAGCTCTTTGTATTCTTAATGAGTTGTTAATGTTGCTGTCCACGGCTCTGCTTGTGCGTCGCCTTCAAATCATCCTTGCGTGCCCGGCTGTGCGCGCGGGCATTGGTTTATTTTACGCACAGATTTGTCTGTGAAGTTGTACGCTCAGTTTAACGTTTATTAACTTAATTTCATGCAACTAACCGTTCTAACTCTGACATTTTGTTTTGCTTCGAAGTTTATTCTGTTACACGTTATATTTTGTTTGTTATGTTATGCTCGTTCAGTTTTGATGTGGTGCTTGTGTGATGTGATTATCCCCTCATGATTCATTCCGAAAATTTCCTTGTACGCCGATATTACGACGGAAGAAAAATGTAGTTTTGATACTAAATAATCCATAGTACCTATTTCAGCTGTAGAATTAGTGTCAATCTTAGAATTAGTGCCAAACTTTGCTATAGTGCTTGCATCTAAAATTTGAAGTTGTCCTAACTCTTAATTCAATTCCAGATATTAATTGTAAACTCTTAGAAATTGATTTTTTTATATTATTAAACGAGTATAAGAGAAATTTTTATTCTTACCACACATTTGTTAGGTTGTAAACCCCGCGTCTGTGAGAGGAAAAAGATTTTCTCTATATATAAACCCTTCAGAGGTTTATAATTATTATTAATTATATTAATTTATACCTAATTAAAAACCTCGGAAATATATACGTTTAATATAATCTTCCATGTGTGCTGAATCATTTAAATGCGTCTAGATTTCATAATGAGATGGTGAACTGATCGTTTATAAATAAAATTTGTAGAATAGCGACGACAACGTATTAAAAAGTATGACACTCGTGCGATTTTGTCAAAAGCCACGACGAAGTTACCTCTTGTAGAATGTCGCTATTTTGCTGAAACTGCAGGTTAATTTCTGGGCCACTGTGGTTACTGGGGCTGCCTCGGTTGAAGGAGATGCAAGACATGATGGGTTCCATATTAATGTTGCAAACGAGATGAATACTAGGTATTCATTCTCCACTCTCTGAAACACTTCAAAATTTACTTCAATAAATTATGTTCGATGATCTGCAATATCCATGGCACTTGTGGCCTTAGGGGACTAAAGACTTTTCTTAAAATTTTATTATTTCTCTCTGTGAGTGTAAGATATCCTTATATCTGAATAGTATACATAGTAGGGTGGCCCAGTGGTTACAGTTCAGAGTACCAGGATTGGAGCAGAGAGGCGCGGGTTCGATCCCAGCTCTGTGCGCCAGTTTCTGGTCAGAATCGGCGAGGAGGCCGGGCGGTTAAGCAAAGCAGAATTGTAGCAATGAGCTGCGAGTTCGAGACCACAAAATGCTGTGAATATTCTGTGATGTTAAGAATCGGCGACAGGCCTACGGCCTAATAAACGCTGAAACCGCTATTATTATAATTATTACATCTGTAGTTTTATAATCATCTACCGTCTACGGCTCTCGAGTTACTACTACATTTGTCTCTGTCTTCCAAATAGAGACCATCTATGCATTAAACACAATTTAAATGTCTAGTAACGTGAAATGTGCATCAGCAAGGGCATTGGGTGCACTTTTATCACTGAAAGAGAAGTTTGTTAGGAAACAACTTTATTCCTTATTCGGGAACACCAATTAGTGACGCGTGAGATACCATTATTACTAGCAACCAGAGCTGGGCAGCGCTACTTTGAAATGTAGCGGCGCTACCGCTACATGCTCTAAATGTAGCGGGCGCTACCGCTACCGCTACACCCACTAAATTGTAGCGAGCGCTACCGCTACCGCTACAGTAAAATGTAGCGCCGCTACATTAACCGCTACAATGGCCAAAATTATTGGAAATCTCTAAATATTTTTTGTTCTGCTATTGGGATTTACTCAGAAACATTTAATGATAATAAAACATTTTCAAAACATATCAATGCAACTTTATTGCAATTAACCTAGCCGAACTAGTACGGGTTAGATACAGTAAATAAAAGTTACAGTTATTTTTATGTTTTAACTTCCCTACATGGATGTCTACTTTAATCTACCAATCTCAAAAATTATCCACATACACATATAAAAAAATCAGTCTTTTATTTGTATATATATATGTGGATTATTTTTAAGATTGGTAGATTAAAGTAGACATCCATGTAGGGAAGGTGAAAGATAAAAATAACAGTGTAAAATTAACTGTAAGCAAACTGAAACATGAAAAAATACCTGTAAGTGGTAACTGGTAACAACTTAACAAGTAACAACTAACATGTTGACACTATAGTAACAGGCTGAGGTTGACAACATTACACCGAAATCTTTCGTACAGTTTTATTCTGTAATTTATGTTATGTATGTATCATGCTGGTTTTTAAATAATATTTAATAGTATTAAGTAAAATCTAAAGGCTTTATATGTAGCGGTAGCGCTATAGCGGCAAAATCTCGTATCGCTACTTAAATAGGTAGCGGGCGCTACCGCTACATTGCCTTAAATGTAGCGCCGCTACCGCTACTGAATATGTAGCGGCCGCTACATGTAGCGCGCTACTGCCCACCTCTGCTAGCAACTCAGTCTAATAACTATCATTCTAATTGGCTTATTGCATGTAGTTGCAATTGATTTGAAGAACGATATTTAATTAGAAGCTGCTAATAGGTCAGTAATCCATAAGGATGTTATAATTCCGTCACATTCTCAGCTCTATTTGAAGAGATTTGTGATACATTTTCATCAGCTCTCAATATCTAGTTACTCTTCGGACAATTTTACGGCCGAAAATTCTCCGACACGTATGATAAATTGCGACATCGTTTGCACCCGTTAATTTTTAACCTACTGTAGTTTAGCATTGGATACAACTAAGATCAAGTGAACTTGCCAACAAACTGAAAAGTTCTCTGTAATAAAATAACAAGATAGAACTTGCTGCACTTGAGTTTGTGCAGAATGTGTCCAAACATTACGACAAATTAAAATGTTATCAAAGTTCTAGCCTTCTTTTCTTACAAAATGGTAACGTAGTATGAAGTCTTTATTCTGAAGACTCCGTGAGTTGTTTCTTTTTCTAGTTTAAATTAATTCTTGAAATTGGCAGTTATGAATCTACCTAAATCAACTAGTATCCATTTTACTGTAAGTTTCAATCACAGATAAATACTCAAGCTGTAATGTAATATTTTGATGAGGGATAGCAGATAGGGGCAGGCTGCTGGGTGCTCAGTAAATCATCCATTCTGTACTGTACTTCCTTACTACTTGATTTATGTGATACTTTGTGTCTGTGAGCATTCTATAAATTATCGTTTATTCGTATATAAATGTCTGTGACGGCCTGGCCGCCTGGGGAGCTGGCCATCCAGTACACTGACTGAGGTCTGAGTACAGTTATTGATGCTAGGTTGGGAGTGCCAGAGTGGGACTTGCAAAAGTCCTACTAGCTATTTTCTGAAATATTGCTGCTCTAATATCATATAATTTCAGTCATAGTGGCAAACCATAGCTTTTTTAGAATCAGTTTATTTTTAATTTCCTCATTTACTCAAGATTTAAACCAATTTATGTATGGTACACATAGTGGCAAACCAGGTCTTTTTAGAATCAGTTCATTTTTAATTTCCTCATTTACTCAAGATTTAAACCAATTTCTTAAGTATGATAATGCTGGTATCCATGATACTTTACTGGTCTACTTATAGGACTCAGAAATGAACTTGAGGGAGAGTCTAAAAAACTCTCTGCTTTGCCACTATGAATTTGGTACCTAATGCTGGTATCCACGATACTTTACTCAGTTTACTCAGCAGGATGGAATTCTAATTTCGAAGGTTCATATATTATTTCGATCCACCAAGACCACTTTTTCTACCCAACATCGTTATTTGAGGCAAAACTGAACTTCTTAAAGGCTTAAAATACGTACACTACCTTGCTCAGTTTCTATAAAGTACCTAACCACTTTGAAGTTTTATGCTTGCACCTTTCACTCAACAATTAAAATTAGACTTATATAAAGTATTAGTTAGTTGAAAATTTGTCTCTTAAGTTCACTGCAATGAACTAAACTTCATTATGTAATCATTAGGCAGAGTTTTCCATCATGTACACTAAACACGCAATTCAGAGTTCAGACGAGCAGACCTACATCACGTGGGCTAACGTGCTACTGAATTGAATACCTAGCGGTATGATTCCCGCTAGGTATTCAATCTAGCGGGATGATCAATGAACTAACATTGATCATCCAGAGTCGAACGATCACTCATAACAGAGTCGAACTAATCACTCGTATACTTAGTGCAAGAAAATGAATAATTATGTTGTTTCTAATCAAATTAACGAAAACTTTTTCTCTTTCTGATCTAACGAACAAAAACTTCTGATCAAACGAACGAAANGGTGGTCCAACGCGGTGGTAGCTGGTAGGAACCGTAGGGTTGGTTTTTCGATACGTTTTCATATATGGACATGAGAATATATTACCTATACAGAATTCCATACTGGTTTACTGGCCTACTCATAGGACTCAAAATTGAACTTGAGGGAGAGTCTAAAAAACTCTCTGCTTTGCCACTATGATTTCAGTAGGTATGAAATCTTGTGGCTCTAAAGTCAAGTCACAGGGCGTTGGAATTCTAATAATCTAACACAGGGCGCCGATGCGGCTTTATTGGGCGCCGTAATTACAAATTAGTAGAGTTTGAAGCGCTGCCAGAATTGGCCTCACAATATGCCAAATTTAGTCACACACAGTGTCGGAATTCAGGGATTTTGTAGGCTAGGTTTGAATTCTAAAGGCTTTTAAATAAATATAGCAACAGTTTGTGATGTTTCATCGTTGCTAGGGCGTAGTGACGGTAGTGTGGTGTTTTGAGAGTGACATAAACCAATCAGAACTCGAGTTGCACTTGCACATATGGTGTCCAGTCAAATTTTTATAGCCATTCATTTCTTGCTACTACATGTGTCGGAATATACCGCGTTTAGCCGTTTACCCTTCCACAATGATGATGGCACAATCTGAATCTGCATTACCGTACTTCAAGGCTCCTGCCAAAATATCCTGCAGATCATGGTGGAATTCTAGCCCTGGAGGTACCTAGCGGTCCGGGTCGGGGCGCGCGCGGTCCGCATCGAGCCGGGGGGGGGGTTGCGGCCGCACTGTGTTGCAGACGTAGGGTGGCCAGTGGGGGGGAGGTAGGAGTGTACGCGCAGGAACCTACAGTCATACAGTCTAGGAGTGTACCGCGCAGGTTTACAGTCATTCCCAGATCGATATAGATCATTTCCAGTAAAATAAAATTTTCCAATTTTTCGCCGACTTTGCCGATTTTTGACGAATTAGAGCCTCGGGCGTGTCCCTGTCTCTTATACACATCTAGATGTGTATAAGAGACAGATTCTGAGGACTCCGTGAGTTNACTATCAATAATTCAAATTTCAAAATAAATCTTTAGGATTGTTCTTAATATTAAATGCAAGCAACTTGTTTTGCAAGTAATCTTTTTAATTCCATAAGGAAATTGCCATGGCACAATGGCAGCATCAGCAT